ACCTGATTCACGTTCACCGGCGATGACTGCGAGCGGAACTCAATGTTGACGGGAAGTATATTGGGCTCAATGATGAGTGTCGAGGGTTGGATCACGTCTTGACTGGTGGGCACGTCTATCACTTGATGCGTGCGACGGGTCTCGACGGCGGCGGTCACGGGTCCGATATTTTGGACGTGTCCGACGTGTCCCTGTCTGAAACCGTGTCCGAAGCTGTGACCGCCAAATGCCAGACCGATGGGCGCCGCGTGAATGGCTGGGGCGGCGGCGACGGCGAAAGCGGGCGCAGCGGCCACGGCGTGAGTTCGGAAGGCGTGTCCCAAATGGACGGCCGGCGCGGCTGCCACTAGACCTACGTGTCCGACACCCACGTGACCAACACCTCCGTGAACCAAATGGCCGCCGCCGTGGACCACATGACCACCGGTTCGGCCGATGATCCTATTGTGACCGACCAGTCCCTGGTGTATGAACTGACCGCATATTAAGTTGCAATTCAATGCAATTACGGTTAAAATAAATAACTGTTTGAATGAGAAAAATAATGTTTCATTAGTTTTGAAGACTTTGTAAAAGTTTTTAAAAATTTTTGCGCTAAAATACCTTTGAATACATGGTTTTTGAGTTCACGACTCAAGCGATGAGTTTTTGTTGAAAAAATAAAGTTTTTTGTTGAAAAAGTTACTAATATTTCGATACTTTACTCGAAATATCAGAGATGTTTGTGACAAATGTTTGCTAAAAACTCATCCCTTTTATAGTTAATGTTAATTACAAATAAAATTGTTAATGAATTTAATATCTGTTTGTTTTTAGGCAAAATAATATTGCGATTCCTATGAAGAAATACACGTAAAAACTGTGCAATTTTAAGGTTAGATTACGTGCCGTATGTTTGGTTTGATAAGCATTACGTTTTGTGTAATGTGTTTGCGATTATTGGCGACGAGATTAAGATTTTAATTATCTTTAGCTACGAATATATCTATTGCATAAATATATGTATATTTATATGTTTACTCAACTAATACTCGGATTATTATATACTACTTGTGGTTATAATTTATAATTAATGAACAGTAATTGAAGAGCAACTGATTTTGTTGGGCGAACAAGTGTTGTGAATACCAATTAATATAGAGATTACGATTAACTCGTATTGATGTTCAGATTTAGGGCAACAAATGTTATCAAATGTAGTGTTTTTTATGTCTCATTAACTTTTTGAAAGTAAATCTAAATTATATTCAGGTATTCATCACTACTTCTTCGGCGTCTCGAATGCGGCGTTTCCTCTGATTTCCTGTTTTGGGAAATAATTGTATTAATGTATG